AAAAGTAGTTTTCGTATATAAATAGCCACACAATTAGTGTGGAGATGAGGACTACAGCTATTCTCCCATAAGAAAAATGTTTACATAAAACAAAACAAAACTTTTTTGTTGTGTTTTCTGTCTCCGAGATATAAAATATTTTATTTATGCAATAATTTATGTATTCTTTGAGGAAATCGTATAAAAATCTATTTTTAAACTCAATATAAACTACGGTATAGTGTATTGAGAGTTAAGATTTGGGATGCAAGAAATTTTTTTAATAAAATTCAAATGTAAGCATCTCTCTCTCTCTCTCTCTCTCTCTCTCTCTACTGATAATAAAATAATAAATGCTAATAAATTAATGATGAGATTTTTCTCTCATCTAAGAGCATATAAAAAACATGACAAACAACTTATAATAACCCGTAATAACAATAATAGACAACTCATTAAAATTTGCAATTCATTAAAAATTCAATCACATATTCGCTGTATAATAATGAATATGTCTTTGAGATTATACTCGAAAATAGCAAAATAATATAAATTACAACTAAATCCGACTAAAACTAAAAATTATCACAAAATCATAAACTCAAGCAAAAAAAACTATCAAAAAGTTTTCAATGAATAAACACTATATTAATGCAAAATACATATTCAATGGACACATACCTGTCTTAAGTATAATTTGAGTACATTTGCGATGACATTGGGAGGGGTGGAGGACAGGTCCACGAGATCCTGTCCCGACTCGAAACTCTGGCACAGCTTCTCCACCCGCGACTTGACGCCCGACACCCGGTATATGCCCTTAATGTTTGAGCCCCGGGTGTCGATCTCTTGGACGCACTTCTTTAGTATAAGGGGCACATCGGAGTTGGTCTGGGCGTTGAGCGCCACCCCAAAGGTGGTCATACGTCGGGGCAGTTTCACGTGACCGCACTGTATGGCCAGTGTCTCCAAACACTTCTTATGGCTGCCGAGTCCGCACTCCAGACACTCCAAGCCCTGGAAGTAGACATAGGAGTCGCACTCTCGGCACCGGGAGGGGGTCTTCAGTTTGCGAAACTTGTGGGTTTCGGCCGCTTTCGACATCGCCGTCATGGCTGTGGACAGGGATGCGTTGATCGGCTTACGACCGGACGGGTAGTAACCGCTGTCTGCTATTCAACAAAACAAATGATACGTTAATTCACACGTGAATTGAGACTTGAAAGCGACGTTTAGTTGTGTCAACAGTTTGTGTCAATACATGTCTAAACGGTATGTTTGAGATTTTTACGGTTCAAAAAACTGTGTATATTTGTAAATGGTCTATAAAAAAGTATTTTCAGTCAACTTTCTGAACGGTTAAGACTTTTTTAACTGAAAGTTTACACACACTCACACACTCGCACACTCGCACTCACACTCTCACTTACGTGTGTCTAATATTAGCGAGTGAATATATTGAATGGGAAAACTACTAGCAATATTAATTAAAATGCTCAAATCACTTGTCACCACAACAACTGTATGTCTGGAAATGTGTTAAAAAACTATTCAAAAACTACTTAACACAAGAATTTCGAGTCGAAAAGTGTTTGGAAAATAAACAGTGGATTCCGAGTCCCACTATTCACTACACACGGAGTGAATCCACAGCAAAAAAATATAAATTAAGTTTTAAGTGAGAAATTTCTCCACAAATATTGACTTCAAATAACAATTAACGCAAAAATTTATATATTCTGTGAGAATGACATACAGAATATGTGTTGTCAGGGGGACAGACGTCTCATAAATGGTTTGCTAGACTCGTGTCTAGAGTATTAAAACACAAATTAAAAACTTAATATAATGTCGTCGATTGACATAACAGTATTACGACAATCATTATTATTATATAAGGGTTTAGTTTAATTTGTGTACATAAACTACTAAATACTAGTACTATACTTTTAATTTGGCATCAGTTGTGGTCATAAAATGTTAAATAATATCTCGCACTTATAATCACTTATATAATCATATTGTTAATGTTTTACTGATAGTATCACGTATTGAATAATCGTTACGTATTTGCTAACATTTTTTACTATTACAGTACATTTGGTATAGAGTTGAGTGAAATATACTGTAATTCATAGGATTGTGAATAAATATATCAAAATAACGTAATGTTGAGCGCATATACTGACGGCAACAACAGTTATAATAATAAAAGTGACAAAAAACTAATTCCCACTTAAAATATATAATCCATAAATTCATGGCTTAATCATGTGTTGAGTTTTTGGTGGTAAAAAAGTGTGACACAAATAAAGTTAGAAAAAGTTTTTTCTACAAAAAAAGTGAAAATATTTTTAGTACTAACAACACATGTATTTCATTATAATTGTGTGAATTCGTAGAAAATTAAAAATTAAAATTTATTACAATTACTAAATAATTTCCTAAAAGTCTTCACTAATAAGAAAAAGTGAGTAAAAAATACGAAAAAAATCTAATCTCAGGATTAAGTCTGTGAATGGAAAGTGAACTAAACATTTAAGACTAAGATTAGGCACAGACTACTTTCAAAAGACATTTTCATTTGATTTACCGGTAGTTAAAAATTCAAATCACAAACCATTTACACACTTATCACATATTCATAAGATTTATTTCACAAGAAATTTCCACAAAAAACAACTGAAAAAACACACAAATAGTAACCAAAAGACAACTTACTGTTGAAGTCGTGATCGGTTTCCAACTCATCGCCGGACGACATGAGTCCCGACGGCGGGCCCCGAGTGGGAGGGCTGGCAGCCGGCGATGAGGACCCGTTGGAGTCGGACTCACTTGAGTCGTGATCAGTGGTGATGTGCGGCTGAAACGTGAACTTCGTTTGATTGGTGTGCGGCTCGGGTAGCCTTTTAACAAACTCCAAGTAGGCCGACCCGGGATCGTAATTGCGCACCGACTCCGACAGCGACTGCAACTGGACGGGTAGGGGCGCCGACACCACGTGACACAACTGAAAGTAGGAACAGGTGGCTGTTTTCATGGTGGCCTCGCACCCGCTCAGTAGCTCCCGGATGCGCACCAGTAGGTCCTTCTTGACCTTCTGGAGCTGGGAGGCCCGGTAGTTGGCCTCCTGGACGCACGCCTTGTAGCCCAGTTCCGCCTCCCGGGCCCGCACAGAGGCGTCCTCTTCGGCGCGACGTTTTTTGTCGATCTTCTCGGCCGACCAGTCGACACCCGACTCACTGGATTGCAGGGGAAATGGATGTCAAACGCGATTTGCATTTAGTATGTGTTTTGCGATCGTTTACAGCAATCGTTAAAAATTAATTATAAATATTTATTATTTGCTTTTCATTCCCTCTCTAATCATAACTAATCTCTAATCTCGAAGTTTAAAAAGTAGTTTATTTTACAAATGATAACTGAATTAATGTATAAAATAAACATTTAGTCATTAGGTATCATTCACTAAGTACGTACAAACCCCCTGGAGGGAGGGGGCATCTAAGGCACACCTACTCATGTCAGATTTCTATGTACTTAGGGATTAAATAGAGGGGAGGGAGGGATGGAGGGAGTGAATGTTTGAAAAACTTTTGAGTCCATACATATTGAATGCCCCCTTATATGCTGCGAACCCATACCTAGTCCTGAGTCCCTGGCGAGCCTTCTCGAGCTCCTGCTGTCGGGTGACATATAAGGCGCGGGCCTTTCGCAGGTTATTGACGGCTTCGTGCATACGCTTCAGCTCTCGAGTCCACATCTCTTTGATTTGTTTGCGTGTCTTCTCGTGCTCTACACGTCTGGCGGTCATCGGCTCCACAAACTTGTGGCCCAACAGCAGCGCACAGGTAGCCAACGAAAAAGCTTATACTCACTATTAAAGTGTGTTTTTAATTTTATGCTATAAATTATAATTAATTATCTATCGCCGAGATCAGTGATTAGGCGACTAATATATTAAGTGTTATTTAAGTTATTAATTTCGATGCAAATGTTAATAAGTAGCAAAAATAAAGTTACTTTTTTCTAACTTAATATACGATATAAAGTAGTTATATGTTTGCGGTTCAATAGTTTTTAATGAACTATTATTTTAGGGGCAAAAACTATTTTGCTGTTTGTATTAAAGCCATACATCTGAAGGGGATTTTGATTATCATTATTAAAAATAGCCTCAATTTAATTGGTATTGTTTTTGTTGTTTTAGTTATTATACTGACTATAATACTCTTAACGAATAGATTATTATTGAAATTGTATTTTTTGTTTTTTGCTGATTGTTTGATATGTTTTTTTGTTGATTATCGATGCAAACTCATTATTGTTTAGATGCAATATATTATGTAATCGATTATATTATAAATTCATTATTTGTTTTTCTCACACAATTATTTAATGTATCTGCCTATGAATCTAAACAAGCACACAATCATTTGTTTCTAATTTTGGGAAAATATTTTTCTGTCCCAAAAATTTTCTCTAAGTCTCTCTCTCTCTCTCTCTCTCTCGAGTATTAAGTTTCTCTCGAAAAAAATTACAAAATAAATATCGAAATTAATTTAAATATAAGAAAGAGAAATAAAATTTATTATTTATGATATGATTTATTCGTAAAATAAATTTAAGTGAAAAAATAATTTAAAACCTTAAAAAAGATAAATAGTAACGAAAAATAATTTGTTTTAAAAAATTATAATTTCAAATATTACCGGTAATATATAAATTATTACATAAAAACCAGTAAAAAAAGATTTTTCACAAATGATAAACACATATATAATATATAATTTTCACAAAAAATAAGTTAAACTCTTTCTGCACACGTTATATATATTTTGGTTTTAAATTATAATTTTTTTAGTATTAATTTTCTATGTATTTGATTATAAAATCATTTTTTCGAGAGATCTCTGTCGAGATTAGTTAAGGCATGAAAAATGAAACTTTAAATTCAATCAATTAATTCGTAATTAAACTGAAATTATTTGTTATCTAATATACAAACATACGAAACAACAAAATATACATTTATTTCATTTCCTACATTACATCCAACAGCTACCGGAGCCGTTGATGACATTCCGACACTACCCGGAGTTCATACATATCGCCAAATCATATCCGGCGTCCGAAACGCACGAGACCTCCGATGAGGAGGAACTGGAGATCGTCTCTGAGCTGAAGTCGGCTGTCCGTCGGCTACCGAAAGCGCACTTCAATTCACTCGCCTTTTTGATGCACCACTTGAAACGGGTCTCGGAGTCGAGTCACGAGAATAACATGCCTTCCAGTAATTTAGGCATTGTTTTTGGGCCAACACTTCTGAGAACTAGGTCTGTAGCCATCGATACCCTCCCTTTCCCTTCGCTTAACATCACTTCACTACTTGACTATATACCTGTCCATCTAATCACTTATGGCTATCACCCCTATATCATAATTAATTAGTTTATTATAGAGTTTGAAATCTATAATTTAGAAATTTATTAAAACACAGTCTGTTTAATATACAGCACCTGTACCTATGATTATATACCTGTAATTACCTCCACTAATGCTTTCAATGCGAGAGATTGAATCTCGATTTTCAATTAATATCTCAATACGATTGGAGTCTCAATGATATGATTGTAACCATATTTACAGCGACGGCGACGCCTCCCTATCATCACTGGTAGACACCGTCCATCAGAGCCGAGTCGTGGAGCTGTTGATCACGTACTCCAGCGAAGTGTTCGGCAGTGAGGGGGCCGGGGATGGCGACGACGAGGTGGACCTCATGATCGAGAACTCCCCCAAACAGTCCAAAGTATTCAAATCGGCCACTTGTGTGACCATTTCCGGCCAGAAGGTGGTCACCGGTAACCACAACAACAACAACAACGATGCCATCAATAATATGAACAATAGGGTGGATATAGTGGAGGCCAGGCGTCAGTTCTTCACGAGCCCCGCCTCCCCGCCCCAGTACAGGACCTCAGCGCCGGCAGCCCCGCAGGCCGCGCAGATCGGCTTCAGTACGATATCACCCTTTTCGCAGTCCATCTCCTCGTCCCCCACACCGCACCCGAAGCTGAGGAGGACGTCGTCGTCCCAACAGTCGGGCGCCGGCACTATGAATGAGTTGTCCAGATCTGCATCCCATGCCTTCACCACCACCTATAATGCCCGTCAGATCAAATATGTCTGAAACTGGCGATCGTTTCTATGTTTTATTCATTTACTTTTGTTTTATTCATATTTTTTTGTCCTTTTGATATCAAAACTACCCATAAGTTTGTATTATTGTTATTATGTTTATAAATATTCGTATATTATATGAAGTATACAATAAATATATGAAAAGTTTTAATTCACGAAATGTTACGATAAATGTTGTATAAATTGAATGCAAGTAAAATAAAAATGAAACATTATTTAAATATTTTGATTGTAAATTAATTGTAATCACGCTATTATCCATTTAATACGAATTTGTCAATTTTATATTTACGTTACTTTGTATTAGTTTAGGATTTTTCTGTGATTTAGATTTGAAAAATGAATTCCCATATAAACTTATATCAAAGTATTTGTTTCAAGATTTTTATCAAATATGTGTCTAAATTTCAAATACTTTTATTCATTTACTATAGTAATTGTATTGAGTTATCTGAGAGCACCTGTATGTTTAGCTCATGACTTTTGCGAGGACTGGAAGTTAAATAACAATAGGTTTGACTTCGGAAGGGATGACTTCATAGACAATCAATTGGTTCGGAAGGCATTCATTGGAAGCCATTCTTATGAACTCTTTTATGACTCGAAGACATCGAGGATTGCATTGAAGAACTCAACAGTCGTTCAATTGAGAGACAAATATGCGCTGAGTTTTACGTTTCAAAGGGATAATAAGGGATTGTGGACAGCCTATTATAAGGCATGCCATACACACATTTAGCTAAAATCACTAGACTATACACAGGTGCAATTCTTATTACCTTGATTATTATCACACCCTAGGATGACAAGGATGTGATAGACCTCGAAAAAATCGGATCCACTCAAAGGGACGAGACGTTCAACATATGGTTCAAAAAGATGATATTCAAGCCATCGGTAGTGTTTGGATCCCTGGGCCCTGAGTTGAGGCCTACGTATCGGTTTGTGATAGCATTGCAACAGAAGTTAGTGAACGGTGTCTACGAAAGGGTGACTAAAACCTATGATTGGGAGGAAAGGAGGCGTGAATTTCGGGACTGTACTGACCAACAGAGTCGAGATATACCGCTATTTATCAGTATATTGAACACAACACTACACATCAATGCTATCTTTCCCTTCTATGACCACAATAAGTATGCTGTCATTTTTGGTGGTCACCCGTCCGGTCCCAGGGCTTGTCTCGCCACTACAAACCTGACCGACAGTCTAGAGGTTTGACTTTTTTGATGGTTTTAATGATAATTGAGTTATTCATGGGATTATCTGTTACAGTGTTCACCGGATAACTTGTATTTTGTGATAAATTGTGACATAACTTACCGGACGGCCAATACTGTGCTCATGATAGTAGTCATATCACTGGTCATTGTATTCCTATGCGTTGTGTTTCTCATGTTTGGCGTTTGGTTTTCCTGTAGAAATGGTAACACATATTAGAAAAGTTTTTATTGTATAAGAAATTAATGAGAAATTGTTTGAATTGTTTGACGGAATTGTAGGAAAGACTGATAATATAAATATAACTCAATTGAAAAATACTGAAACAGCGTCTATGGCATCGGTATCAACCATCAACTCAAACACTGGGGAACAGGTGTCACACACGGGTTCACCTAATCTTAGGAGTAAGAGTATAACTGATCGCAAGTGTAAGGCTAGTAAAAAGGTTTAACAAACTATTCAAATAATTAATTAATTAGTAGTTATCTATCTCTTGTATGTAAATAATATCTTGATATATTGTTAATTATTTAAATGCTTATTATTTGCTAATAACTTTTAATATAATATATCTGTATTTATAATGTTTTAGTAAAGTATTTTTTAAAACCCAAATGTTATGTTTCTGTGTACAGTATTATTATTGCTCATAATTAGTTTTAATTATCATTTCAGTGTTTGTCAATTAAATAGAAGTTTATGCTAGTATACTTTGACTTTAATTCAAAAACAGGAATATTTATTTAAGTGAATAAATAATTTATGCAAATATAATGAAATCTCGCGTCAAATGAACGCTTTATTACATAACAGACAATGATTTCATTGATAAAAAGTAGTCTCAAAATTGAATGTTTTATAAATTAATGATAAGAATTGCAATAAATGTTTGCTGGAAATATATTTCATTAAATATTGATTAAAAATTGAGTTTTAATTATCACTACTTTCTAGAAATTAATGAAAACATACAAAACATCTATCATTTAATTACTTGTTTAGCAAAAAAAATAAATTTCGGAAATCCTATGACTATTCTGAGGTATAATAATGTTATGATTTCATCGATTTAAGTAACACATAATGAATTCCTATGTCTGATCCTTAGACTATAAGAAGCAACAAACTAGTTAAATATTTTGAATTAATCAAATTTACGTTATAATTGATTGTTATGGATAACTTTATAAATTAGTTTTATTTAGAAATTATTAGTACCCTATTATAAAAGTATATGAATTTATGAGTTTACGAATATTTTAATTGTCTTTTAAATACTAATTTATATACAAATCTGTGCTATACTTAATAGTTTAACAATAACTTCACGTTAGTTAGTGTTGAACGCAAACCATTTTTAAAAATCAGTTTAACTGTTGAAAAGTTTATAATTAACTTACAACTGATTTATTGAAATTCATTTACAGATTAAAAATTAAGACCTTAAAACACAATGTCTTATATTGTGAACTTATATCCAGGTATTTATTAATTAAAACTCTTAACTTACAATTTCTATTAAATAATTTTTATTTTAAGTCATTAATCCAATAGTTATAGTGATTTATATGATCGCACGGGTAGTCCAATGTATAAATTTCTGTGAGGACTGGACTGCAAATAACTATAAGTTTGACTTCGGGAGGGACGGCCTCATAGGCAACCGTACGGTTCAGACGGCATTCATTGGCAGCCATTCATACAAAATCTTCTTCGACTCCAAGACCTCGAAGATTGCATTGACTCCCGATTTGACACAAATTACGAATTATCAACACAAATATGATATGAGTTTCACGTATAACAACCAAAAGGACGAGCTATGGATAGCCTACTATAAGGCATAAGAATTTCTACAAATCATATCAAACTTTAAACTAACACTTAATCTAACGATACGACAGAAATACGAGACTGTGATAGACGTCCAAAAGGTTGGATCTAATGATTGGAGAGATATCTTCAATCCGTGGTACAAATCCTCATACAAGCCGTCCGTCGCGTTTGGATCTCTCGGCAATGAATTGATACCAAAATATTGGTTTGTGTTTACAATACAACAGACGGAAAGGAATGGCGTTTATGAGAGACAGTCAGAGATATACGGTTGGAATGAAACGGATCAGTCGTTGGTGAATATGACGGACGCTATGGGCCATGAAATACCGGTATTTGTCCAGCAATTGGATGGGAAACTACACATCAATGCTATCTTTCCCTTCTATGAGCACAACAAGTATAAAAAAGGAAATACCATTACATAAACAGTATGAGTGGTTCAGCATTAGTAGTGTTGTGTTTATTATATAAAATAAATAATTTGAGAGCCTTTTCGCTCATCCCATCCCACAGTCTATTAGTGAACATACATAGCCTGTGCTCAGTCAACCCAAACACTCAATAAGATATTAGATCTTTGATTAATTCAATGCCTTCAATGATATGCAGAGGGGCTGTGAATAGAGGCTATGTTTCGAGACAAAAATATTTCAACAATTTTAAGTCCGTTTTTATGAAGCAGTCGGTGGGAAATAAAACTAAAATACATGATTTATTTTACATATTCAATACTCTATAATAAAGTCAATGAACAACTTCTTACCAGTAAATCAGAGATAATAATCGAAATAATTTGTTCATTATTTAGGGCTTAAAAGTCATGAAAGTCTATTGAATAAATGGACTAATTTTTATGAGCACTGGTTAGTTGAGTATTTGGCCGAAAAAAGTCGATGTTTTCTCGTGAGAGGTGAAAATAATTTGTTCATTATTTAGGGCTTAAAAGTCATGAAAGTCTATTGAATAAATGGACTAATTTTTATGAGCACTGGTTAGTTGAGTATTTGGCCGAAAAAAGTCGATGTTTTCTCGTGAGAGGTGTGAAATCTATATCGCAGTCAACCCCACCTCAAAGCCCCCTTTCAATGCATATCATACGGAGGTTTAGCGCAAAAACTCCTTAATTGTAATAAAAACTTGTTATTCGAGTTATACATTAAATTACAGCATTCAGTGTATATAACATTTACATATATACGACACGTCATCATTATATACATAAGCACTCACTTTTTCACTGTATTGTAATCGCATAAACAATCCCTATAGATAGATAGCATAATCTCTACCCCAAATCGGAACTGAACTTAAGGTTGTCCCAAACTTCGTACGAAATACTACTGTTTTTATGACTAAACCATTGCCTCCGCGTCTAAAACGAGATTTTCTGTGCCATTCGTATCGCAGAGTTTGTGATGAAGTTTTTCATCTGAAACTTGAGAATCATTTTTGTCTCAATTATATACGAAAAAAGTTTTTTATCATTTGCTTTGTATTGTGTCATTAATTCACGCCACAAAACACAATATGAGTGGTGGTTATCAGAGTATCATTGCTGAAATTTTTGTGTGATTTTCTATATTGATATAAAAGTCGTGTTTTAATGTGTCTTAAGTTTTGATTTATAAACTGAAGCCAAACATAAAGTGCATATAAATCACGGACTAATTATGGTTAACGACAGCGCAGCCAATCTGGAACTGGAACACATCGACACCACTACCAGTCCCGTCAGTAACGTATAAATGATATTCGCATACCTGTGCTAATCCTGTGTTAAAGTGCTAATATGAGTGGTGATAAGCCCCCGAATTTACATAATCTATAAATTATATACTTTTATGGGCGATGGGCTAAAGCTCCATATTAAATTGTAAATGAGCAAGGGAATTTTCTGTCAAAATGAGAGTTTATTTGAGAGCCCCTCAAATTATGACCCACACCTATAGGCGACCCTTCAAAATAGGAGGAATAGTCGGATTTTATTTCATTCAAAATGGATAATAAAATGACATTAATTGTGATGAGATTTTGTGGCCACACCTAACACACACTATTCCTATTGTTTTATACGTATTTTAGCTATACATCCCTTTCAATATCATATTCAAGTTTCCATATTTAATATTTTTTTTGCATAACATTAAAGTAAACAATTTTTTCCTTTTATAATAAACTGTAGAAAATTGGCACTTTTTGAATAGTTAATAAATTCTATTATTTTTGAATATTATAAACTAATTTTAGATAAAGTTAAGATTTTATGTTAGGATTAAATGCAGGTATAATATAATAATTGTGAAAATTATACTAATAATAAAATCAATTGAATTCATGTTTGTCTACAGAATGCCAACCGAATGGTGAGTGGGAATGGTGTGAGACATGCGGTGACCACCACTAGGAACTCAATTATATCCCGTTTCCTATTCCAACGCCTATTAATCCTATCACTCGTACGACTCATTATATATTTGAATAAATTATATCAAGACTGCAATGCAGTCAACACTTACTATAGTGACCACGACTTCTACTTCTGTATAATAA